GCGGGGGAGTTCTCTCTCATCGTCTGAGGAGTCTGAGGATTCGGATTCGGGGTCGAAGGTGATTGTTGCTGCTCTCTCGGGTGCGGCTGGTCTTGCCTGGCGGGGCTTCTGCATCCTTCCTAGCAGAGAGTGTCGCACAGAGGGCTTCGGCCGTTCCGTTGCCCATCTCTGCTGTGTGGGACGCGTCGTCGACGCGAAGTAGTCCTGATCATCGGGGGTAGACTCCACGGTGTCTCGTGGGGCATCGATGGGCTGGTCTGGCGACGATACGCCTGCTGGTTGAGCCATGTGTGCGGTCGAATTGTTCTGGACGGGCGTGGGCGTGGTGGGCTCTTGGCCAGGGATATTCGGAAAGGTCGGCTCTTCGATGACCATACCAATGGGCGAGACGAGACCCTCGCGCTTGGGACTAGGCGTAGGGTTCGCCATAGTGAGCTGTGCGAAGAGGTTTGGCGTCTTGGTGGGTCGGAAGATCTGGGTCAGTGACGGTTCCGCGTTGCCGGTAGTGACAGCGCGATGATGGTGACAGCGCAGAAAGAGCGAAGTCTAAGCCTGAAGGGACACGCGACACCCGGCTTCACCTGCATGCGCCAACAAAGCTTTTCGTATAGTCGCCTGGATCCGGACAACGGGCGCGCAAAAAGGTGAATAAACCCATGTGCGGATGGCGTGGGTGGTCGTAGCGGCCGATCAAGGCCACTCGGTGGACAGCAGCACCAGCAGGAACAGGCGGCATGACATCACGTCCAAACATTTGCAATGTGGATCTAACGGAAGGCGCCAACGCGGGAGTTAACTTGGTCGGGTTAATTCGATGGTCTTGAAATTGTGCCTGGGCGTTCTTGGGCGACTCTTTTTTGCCGAGGTCGCGCGACAGGGATCACAATCCCATGCCTTGAAACATGGCAATCTCCCCCACCAATGTGCGTGCCGCTCGTACACCACTGGACACGAGATGCTAACAAGGAACGTAGCATGTGTAGACGTGGCGCCACTGCTGAGATGGTATGGATGATTCGGCATGTTTTCAAGTTCGATGCATGAAGCCAATACAGCACAGCGATCGTGACCCTATGATGCAGCCCTAAGCGTGTAGCGTCCCGACCTATCCGGGCTGCTCTGCATACTCTCCGAATGCGCTATGGTCGGCCTCTAGCAGCAGCCGGCTGTCGATCCGCAGATGCTTTTGGTAGAGTTCGAGCAAATTTAGCTAGGTCGTTGCCGCTTCTAGTGCATGATGGTGACCGCGTTGTTGTAGGGTCAGATGATGCTTGTACCTAGGTAAGAACCACCGCAGTAGGCCAGCGCATCGAGGTGCATTTCGCGCAGAAGAATGTGGTCATTGCAGCACGGGCAAGAAAAAGTCGATTATCTATGTGGAAGCTTTATTGGAAAATCCCAAGCTTCTAGCTCAATCGCAGTTCGCACCGTGCTCGAGGGAAGAGCCCTGCCAAGCTTCGCGATGATGCGAATCATCGCCCGAACCCCAGACTGTACAAGGATGCTTTGACAACGTCCTGCGCCCACCCCGCCCAGCCCCGTCCAGCCTGGACCATGTTCAAGATCTTGATGAAGGTGCGGTTCCACTGATCTTGGTCCTCCCAATCGTCGGCATAGGGCTCGAAAATTGCCGTTTCGATACTGCCAGGTGCGCCGGGCGTAACCAGATCCCACTCGCCATTGTCCTTTTGACGCACATGCATCTTGGGTCCTATAACCAGCGCCCGACCAAGTATGCGAGAATCGGCTACGAAGCGCGTACCTGCGTCAACGACATCTTCCACCTTGCCCACGCCGCCTCCCGCGAGTATGAAGCGCGCACTGGCAGGCACGATGGGTGTATCGATGAAGTATGGACAAAGCAGGTTCACGCGGATGCCTTGAAGGCCGCTTGTCACCCTCAAACTCCTGAAAAGACCAAGCACCGCGTGCTTTGCGGCACAATATTGGGGTTGTATGGCAATGGGACCGAGAGAGGCGATGGAGCCAAGCAGAAGGATATGGCGATCGCGTGGGGAGGTAGTGGAGGGCTTCGAGCTCAAGCTGCAGTCTCTGGAGCCAGGGTTCTTGGGCAGCCAGAAGCAGGCCAGGTGGGTGGTGTATAGCACACCAGTGAGGTTCACGTCCATGATCTTGAAGACGGGTGGGGGTGGTGCAGCCGCATCGAGGTTTGCAGGTTCTTGGAGGACGTCGCGACCTGCTATGCCTGCATTTGCGACGACCGTGTCGATACCCCCGTGCGGGCTCAGCTCGACTGCCTTCTTGAAGAGGTCGACCTGCGACTGCCAGTCCGTCACGTCGCAGTGCACGAAGTGGGCTTTGCCGCCGTTCTTGCTGTCTTTGTTGATATCACGGCAGAGCGCGTCTCCCTTCTGAACACTGATATCTCCCACGACGACTGTAGCGCCATCAGCTACCCATTTCCGCACGAAGCCCGCGCCAAAGCCACTGGCTCCTCCCGTGATGAGTACGACCTTGCCCTTCACCCAAGCTGCATCGTAGGGGACGGTGATGTCGATAGGCGGCGACTGAAGGACGTTCGGTTTCTGTGGTTTGTAGTCGTCCATTGCAGTGGTTGTCGCTGATTGAAGGTGTTTGAACAAGTACTATGGGGGACTATGAGGGTGAGGCTGGGTATGGCTCTTATATCGTGAGGTACCCGCATGTACGCCCGTGGAGGTGCAGGCCCCGGGGAGCTCTCACCTGGCGCACTAAGGAGAGCAGCCTCGGCTCGCGAGCGTAAGGGAGCCCATCCACCTAGTCGAGTGGGAGCCCGCGGCCATGATAGGCTGCCCCAGTGTTGAGCTTGTCGCATTATCTATAGTCTGCAACTAAGGGGAGAAGTACGACCGAGGAGTGCACACGCGAATGCGAGGTCGATCAGCCGTCAGACATGGTCGTGGTAAGATGATGAGCTGGTGGGGTTGTCAGGCTAGCGCTGCTGTGCCTGAACCCCTGCCGAAATTTCCATTCGCAAGCATCCCCGCCTTGCAAACAAGTCACACATTCGCTGCTCCTCATCCGCGTCCGCTCCTCTGGACCACCTGGGTACTAAAGGTCCGAAAGCATCGCGACCAAGCTATTCCCGATCCATCCCATCATGGCGGCCAAACCTCCCGCCCTCGACGTGTCGGCCTCGCACATCGTCGCGACGCTCTTCTACAAGGCCGACACGCCCAACTTCTTCCAGCACGCCGATCTGTCGCCCCGAAGTCCCGGCGACCCAATCCCCTCTGCCTCGCTCGAGTCGCTGAAGGACGGCGCCGTCCCCACCGAGAATCTCGCAGACTACCCCCTCGAACCACCAACACCTGGGCCCAACGCCCGCGACAATCTCTACGGAAGCTACGTCAGCCAAAGCTGCCTCACCGAGTTCTTCGTCACCCTCACCAGCATCATAACTGGCTTGGAGCAGAACACCATAACGAGCAAAAGGCTGGAGGCAAGCAAGCTCTGTAGGGTAGTCGAAGTCACGTTCCCCTTGCCAAGCGCCTCGCCCGTCGCGCTTGAGACGTTGCGCAGGCATGAAGCCGTGTCGCGCTTCGAGCGCGAGTGGAACGTCGAGTGCGTCTTCCAGGCAGACACCATACATCGGCGCTACAAGAGGCTTGCCGTCTTCGACATGGACAGCACCCTCATACAGCAAGAGGTCATTGACGAGATCGCTTCGCTGATAGGTGTCGAGAAGGAGGTATCTGCCATCACGTCTGCTGCCATGAACGGTGAGCTCGACTTCGAGGCTAGCCTACGCGCGCGATGCAAACTGCTCAAGGGCGTGCCAAGCAGTGTTTTCGAGACGCTGAAGCCAAGGATAACATTGAACGAGGGCGTCAAGGATCTTATCACCGCTCTGAAGCGATTGGGCTTCAAGACAGCAGTGCTCAGCGGAGGCTTCACTCCCCTAACAGGATGGATGGGACAGCAACTTGGTCTTGACTACGCCTTTGCTAACCACCTGGTCGTTTCCGAAGACGGAGCCACACTCACAGGCGAACTGACCGGTGAGATTGTGCACGCTCAGAAGAAACGCCAACACGTCCTAGAAATTGCCGAGAAAGAGAATATACTCCTCGAACAGGTCATATGTGTTGGCGACGGCGCCAACGATCTTCCTATGATGAGCGTAGCCGGTCTGGGCGTCGCCTTCCACGCGAAGCCAAAGGTGCAGATGCAAGCTCCTGCTCGTCTCAACTCCAAAAGCATGCTGGATGTACTATATCTCTTCGGTATCTCAAAGGAAGAGCAGGAAACACTATTGCAATAGCACAATCACTCGCCGTACAAAAGGTAACCATCGAATACTGTCCCGCTCGCATCATGCATCATAATCCTGTTATTACGTGAACCAACTAGCTATCTCGATTTCTCGGTTGCGTTGCTGCGACAAGGCGCGTGTGGTCGTCTGATACATGTCCGGAACTCAGGCACACAGCGTGGCGCAGCTTGCCCCTCCGTGTCTGCCTGCGACCCCAGCCACGGCGCCACAATATGCGATGCGATCACAGCCTCGCGGCATTATCATCATAAAGACGAAAGGCATGCACGTAAGCTCGTTCATTGATACTCTGGATTAGTTGCGCATTTTCTTTGCACGTCGCTATCAAGTATCGCGTATCGTGTTCGCCTTTCCACGTTCAGACTCGCCAGTAATCAGCAAACGAAAGATGAAGCTACCCGAGTTACCGACAGACATATATCGCCTTGTTCTTGATCAAGTGCGCCTCACCAGTGCAAACCACTTTGACTTATATTAACATTTGTCTAGCTCTCACTGTCAGACCAGATCTCGCTCAGTCTTGTTTCGCTTACATGTCGCAATCAATGCGAGCCAGTTATCTTCCGCACTATCACCGTGGGTGCTTGCAAAGAGCGAGGCTCAACTATGACTGCACGCATCACCAATGGCCTGGGATGGCCTTTTCGTACTATCACCTCGGGCAGACCCAAGAAAAGCGGACCCGGTTCCCCCACAAGCATCGTGAGCAGTCTTAAACGGAACGATGGTAGATTGGCGAAAACAGTGCGTCACTTGGTCATCCCATCTTATCCCGACCATAGCTACATCTCCCCCGCGACGATTCTACACATTATAGAATGCACACAAAACCTTGCATCATTTAGTTGGAACGCCAACCACGCCATCCCCTTGCATGTTCTCGAGGCGCTGCACCGCAATCATCCTTCAGCTCAATTGAAAGTCACGAACCACAACCGCAAGGATCTTGCTCTAGATGAAGCTCTCCTGTCATCACCTCAGCTCCACACACTCGATATTACAGTCCGGTGCTTCCATCGGGGAGCAACACGTCTGCAGGACGAAAACAGCGATCTCTCCAAGCTCAAGACATTACTCATGCGGGGCCGCAACCTCAAGGTCCTACGGTTGCGTCTCAGCAAACAGCAACACTTTACCATGGCTGCGAGAAGTCAACGCAACAGCTACACGGCTATGGCCGTTGGCGGATCTCATTTCCGATTCCAGGAAACGGACACGTTCCCCACGCTCGAAGAGCTGGTCATCTCCAGGGCTGATGACCTTGCGCATGCCTACGAGTTTAGCCCCAAGCACTGCAGCGATTGGGCCTACGCCATGGACTGGAGTGAGATGCGCATCTTGGACGTGGCATCCACTAATTCCGAACACCTGCTACGAGAGATCGCTGGTCTAGTACCCAAGCTACACACGCTGAGTTTGAACCCGTCCTCTATCGACTACGCTACTCTCCAAAGTTTCTTGGGAACTGTGCCACTGTTGTCAGATCTGAAGCTGGTTGCTGGAAGCACGTCGAACATGTATGTTGGCAGCTTTGACAAAGCAGTCACGAGGGTTTGTGAAGCCATTGGACCTCAACTCCGCTCTCTCCAGGTTGAATCTAGATCTGGTATCGTCATGCCGTGGCAGAATCAGAGGATTCTGGAGGTGCTGGAGTTATGTCCGCAGCTTTGGTACTTCGAAAGTGTCATCGAGGGGCTGATTTCGACCGGTAAATGGGAAGGAGATGTTGTGGGCAAGTCAGCTTCGTACAAGCGTGCATTAATGTCATCGACTGGCACTAGGATATCAGGTATGTAATACATTCCTCCTCTCAAACGATGGGAGTCGATACGTTGCTAACGTATCTGTGTAGATGATCCGTATGCGTCATGCTGTGGCACGGGCTTGAATGTACCGCCTGAATGCGTCCCCCGGTTCACAGCTTTCCCGCCAACATAACGAACGTCTGTACTACAATTATCGTGTCTCTCCTACTCAAGACAATTCTTAGTCTCTTCCAAACATTTTGGCCAGACCTTCTTCCAACTCATGCTCACACGTGCATGGCGGTGCTGATATCTGATGCTCTGTGACTCGAGCCGGCTGAGTTTGAGACAGTCCGGTGTTTCTACAGCCCTCGCAATACACCCGAACCACAACCTCTTTAGCCTGCATTCGATGCTCACAACGCCGCAAAGCGTCAAGCACAGCGTCTTTGAAGCCATGAATGCATCGGAAAATAGGCGGCGACGGTTTTCTACGTGACAAGTAGTACCTCACAAGGTCTGTGGGATCGGTGCGAATCTTGATCTTGAGATGGAATGTTTTCAGATTGGGGAAACGCGTCTGCCACTTGGTAGAGCGTCGAATTGCTTGTAGGACAGCGCTTTCACGCGTGACATCTTGGCCTGGTGTCATCTGAGTGGACGCAACCAGAACTCTCCAAGCTGTATCCATATCGAGGTTTTGGTCATTCGGTCGTGATGTGTAGAGATTGAAAGTGACTTCGAATCTCCGGATCCACTTACACGCATCAAGTGGAGGGAATTTAGGAAAGAACGGCGAGAAAAAAGGAATTGTGGTGACGAATTTGTTGCTTTTGTAGTCTGCCTCTGTCAGTTGTTGATTTAGATGTGCAGAGCCTAGTTGACCAGACCCCCCATTTCACTTACAGCTTTCACGGGCGAGCGCGGCCAGCTCTGTGTTGCCACAGCGCAAAACTGGTATCAACAAGCTCGCCGCTTGGTAACTGGTATCGTTATCTATAGGCTCGGGAAAGGTAAGGGCGTGACCGAGGACTTCTAGTTGGAGTTCAGTAGGTAAGTCTGACCATGGATGGAAAGACGCTGTCTCCTGGGGTGCGGTAGCGGTCGACATACATGTGACGGTGGTGAGTGGCTTCGAGGCGAGGAAGTCATTGTGAACGTGAGTGAATAGATTATTGTTTGTTGACTCGGAGCATTTGCTGACTCGGAGCATTTGCTATTCACAAACACCTCGAGATGGTTAGAAAGTGAGCTATATAGCAACAAGGGTCGTGCGGAGCGCGTGCAAATCCCACGTAACAAGTGATGTGAGGTTGCTTTCACCTCCACCTACAATGCGGTTCACTACTACCAGCTTGGTCAGCGATTATGTAAAAACACCCTCCATGTAGCCGTATAGACCATGTCATCCATCAGCATATCAATCGTTCCTTTCCCCAACTCACCAAGCTTACCCCACCGATTCTACTCCACAACAACAATGCCCAATCAAGTCACTACAACCACAGGTTCCGCAAACTCACTAGTGCATGCCGACTCGGAAGACTCAACCTTCTTCCAATACTGGAATAAGCTTCCAGCAGAGCTAAGAATAATGGTTCTGGGGCAGCACCTAACCTTCCCAACTCCAATCACTTACACAAAACACTGGGCCCTAATGAAGCTACGCCTCCTTCCCTTACTCCGTACAGATTTCGCGACCATAGCAAAAGCAGCATATTACAATAACAACGTCTTCCAAGTCACAGACTATACGCTACATTACGGACATCGACCATCGCTACGTGTCGGGAGCGAAATCCGCCACTTGGAATTCCGGTTCCAGTCAGTTTCTCGTCATGATTACGGAGGCTTAGGTCTCCTCTGGCAGCCGGCAAGACAGATACCAAGGAGTTGGCAGCAGAACATCCCCAAGCTGAAGACTCTGCGCATCGTCCTTGATGCGCGTGGGTATTGGCGTACCACATTCGATGGATCCCGAATCTGGGTGGATGCGCGGATTACGGGGGAGATGCTGGGATGGTGGGAGAGGATTCTGACGGAGAAAGTGCTGAGTCTTACTCCTGAAGATATCACCTTTGAGATCGAGGCGGATGGATGCCCGGTCGCGAGACCTGAAGATGTGTATCATGACGAAAGCAGCTGCACTTGTAAAGAGGATCTGGAAACGGATATTAAAGGGTTGATGGTAGAGAAGTGAGATGGCGACAGGGGGAAGAAGACGATCTAATGGCCTGGATTTCATGTATTCCCATACTTCTAGCTCTTACTGATAGCCCTGAAACGACTGCTGTGATGACGATGCTGATACGTGACTGATGTAGGTGATTGCTGCCCAGGAGTTGCCGGAGTGGTAAGCGATTTGGGAAGATGCTCTTTTCGGGGTATTCGCTGTTTCTTGGCCTCCGATATCATGGCCATAGGAGGGCAGAGGAGCGATTGCTTGGGTGATGTTTGGGTGCTCCAACGAATATTACCGGATTGCCGAGCTCTAGTGCGGATGAGTCAGCAGCAAGCCCGCACGCGTCATGTCGCGTCGCGTCGCGTCACTTCCAAGGTTCGTTCTTAACGAACACCGGCGTCATCAGCATGTTTTGGTGGATCTTGCAATGACACCTAGAAGCTGACAACACAATACATTGAAATATATGTATGTATATAATGACACAGTTCACTTCACTGACCAGCGCGAGACCAGACCCCGGTCTGCGTCAAGCTGCACTCCCATCTCTGCTGTGGCATTCTACTCCTTCACCTCCTCCTTGACAAACTTACTCTTTCCCGCAACCTTGACAGCCAACAGCCAGATACTAATATCGCTCATGATATCCACAGTCCCAACGTCCGCTCCGATAGCCTTCGAAAACCAGTTCCGCATCTCCACCGCGACCAACGAGTCCACGCCATACCGATAGATCGCCTTTTGAGGATCGATGTCGTCCTTGCTGACAACCAAGAGACTGGAAAGCTGGTTCTGGATCGCATCGACAACAATATCGGTGGCTTGAGCGAGGTTCGTGGCCTCTGAGAGCTTGTATGAAGGGCGATTCTTGGCTTCGGCGGTCGCGTTGTCAGAAGAGAAGCGCGAAGGGAGCGTGTCGAGGTAGTGGTATAACGGCCGCGTACTACCGAGAGGTGCCACGATGCCCATGGCACGGAGATCCGCCGGCAGGGTCAAGGGTGTGATGATCTGGGACCCCACGGTGCTTGCATCGACGCGTTCGGGGTCACAGCAGAAGCGTAGCAGCTTGTAGATGTCGCTCATGGGCACCTCCTCCAGCATACCCCGCACGCGGAGCAAAGCTTGTACTTGCTCGTTCTGAGCGACGTAGCCAACACCGGTGACCATGCTCAAAGCGAGGGTGTGAGCACGTTGGCTGTGACGCATACGATGGGCCGCTAGTTCGTCCTGGTATGTGTTGCCAACGGTGTAATTTGATTGACCGAACGAGCCCATGATACCGGTGGAAGATGACAACATGACGAAGAAGTCGAGATCGGCAGGTAGAAGCTGGTGTAGGTTCCAGGAGCCGTCTACCTTGGGCGCGAGTGACTCGTGCCACTTCTCGCTCGACATCTTTGCGAAGGAAGAGTCGCGCATTACCATTGCTGCTTGGACACACCCTTTGATTTGCGGAAGAGCTTGGAATGACGCAAGGGTCTCCTTAAGCTGGTCATAGTCGGCGACGTCGCATACTGGAGCATACACTGCGGCGCCTTGTGCCATCAGTCCTTGCATGAAGTAATCGCGCTCAGATCCAGTACCCTCGACTGCTGATCGTGACGGCAAGATTAGATGCTTGGCTCCATTGTGTACCATCCACGTAGCAATGCTCTGGCCGATACCGCCAAATGCGCCAGCGACAAGATAGCTGGCGTCCGAAGAGAACAATGGCTTGTCAGAATCTGGCGAAAGTTCCAACTCCACAATCTCGTCGTCAGCCATCTCGATGACTACTTTTCCAAGCGTCTCTCCATCTTTGAGCGACTGGAAAGCCTGCTGAATACTACCCTGCCTGAACACGGTCGGAGGTAGAGACATGGTGATCTTACCACCTTCCATCAGTGATAGCACATCTACGAAGATGCCAGCAAACAAATGGCTCTGTGCCAGGTCCTGGAAGTTGACGCTGATGAAAGTAATGTTCTTCGTTGTAGGAGGTACCACAATCTCGTTTGAGCCATTCGCGGTCGAGTTGAAGACGTCCTTTTCTCCAACGCCAACAAAGCGTCCGAACGAAGCGATACATGGCCAAGAATCTTGCAAGAGTTCTTCAGAGCCTAGCACAACATCGACACCTCGTCCTCCTGTCAAACGGAGGATACCATGCTGGAAGTCGAGATTGCCAGTGAGGAACACGTTCGACGTCGGAACGTTGAAGTTCTTCTCCAGGAAAGCCGCTTCTTCAGGTGTGCCTACAGTCGCAAAGACTTTCGTATATCCGTGGAGAACGGCGATTTGGATGATCGCTCGGCCGAGCGCGCTAGCAGCCTCGTGGACCAAGATGGACTCGCCACCCTGAATACCGACACACTGCTTCAAGCCGTAGTAGGCCGTACAGAATGCCACTGGATAAACAGCAGCATCGCAGAAGCTCATACCGTCCGGCATCTTGTGCAGTTGTGAGAACTTACAGCGGGCAATTTGCGCAATGCCATTTCGTGTGACACCGAAAACGCGATCACCAATCTGGAAGCCCCCATCGTGCGATGAACCAGTGCGTACCACGACTCCAGCGATCTCGCTTCCGAAGGTCTCATCATGGACCTGGCCAAGTGCTACCGAGACGTCCCGCATATTGAGTCCAACAGCCTTGATTTCAACGACAACATCATCCGGCTCAAGCTCTCCAATGTTGTCGGAAGCCTGCTCGTAATGCAGTGTACTTAGGATGCCTGCCGCGCCGATGGTCAACTTTGGGCTGTCAAGCTCGCTCCAAGGTTTGGTGACAGTAACTAAAGTATCTTCGGTAGGCAGTGCTTGAGCAGTGAGTTCCGGGTCGTCGACCACACGTGGAATGCAGAGCTGGCCATCAATTTCGCAGTACTCGT